AACCATGAATCAAAGGGGAGAAATCAGGACCAATACCAAGAAAATAGAGACAATTATTAGAACTTGTTACCAGCAGCTATATGCCAACAAACTAGGCAATCTGGAAGAAATGGATGCATTCCTGGATACTTATAAACTACCAGGATTGAAACAGGAAGAAAAAAAGAATCTGAACATACTAATAACCAGCAAGGAAATTGAAGCAATAATCAAAAACCTCCCAAAAAATGAAGAGTCCAGGGCCAGAGAGCTTCCCAGCAGTATTCTACCAAACACTGAAAGAAGAAATCACACCTATTCTACTGAAGCTATTCCAAAAAATAAAAATGGAAGGAAAATTTCCAAACTCGTTCTATAAGACCAGCATCACCCTGATCCCAAAACCACATAAAGACCCAAATGATTCTCTGAATTGATGCAGAAAAGTCATTTGACAAACTACATCATCCTTTTCTGACTAAAACTCATCAAAATATAGTGATAGAGGGAACAGACCTCAGTATCATAAAATCATCTATGAAAAGCCCATAGCAAATATCATTCTCAATGGGGAGAAACTGAGAGCTTTTCCCTTAAGGCCAGGAACACGACAGGGATGCACACTTTAACCACTTCTGTTCAACATAGTACTAGAAGTCCTAGCCTCAGCAATCAGAAAACAAAAAGAAAGAAAAGGTATTCAAATTGGCAAAGAAGTTAAACTCTCTCTTTGCAGATGACATGATGCTGCATGTGGAAAACCTGAAGACTCCACCCCCAAATTATTAGAACTCATATAGCAATTCAGCAACATGGCAGGAAACAAAATCAATGCACAGAAATCAGTGGCATTTCTATAAACTAACAATGTGACTAAAGAAAGAGAAATTAAGGAATCAATTCCACTTATAATAGCACCAAAAACTACAGATACCTAAGAATAAACTGAACCAAAGAGGTAAAGGATCTATCCTCTAGAAACTACAGAACACTTATGAAAGAAATTGAGAAAGACCCAAAGAGATGGGAAACTATTCCATGTTAATGGATTGAAGGAATAAACATTGTTAAAATGTCTATCCTGCCCAGAGCAATCTACACTTTCAAAGCAATCTCTATCAAAATACCATCAACATTTTTCAAGAGCTGGAACAAACAATCCTAAAATTTGTATGGAACCAGAAAAGACCTGAAATTGCCAGGGGATTGTTGAAAAAGAAAACCAAAGCTGGGGGCACCACAATGCCGGACTTCAAGCTACATTACAAAGCTGTGATCACCAGAACAACATGGTATTGGCACAAAAATAGACACATAGAGCAATGGAACAGAAGAGAGACCCCAGAAATGGACCTTCAAACTCTATGGTTAACTAATCTTCAACAAAGCAGGAAAGAATATCCAATAGAGGGGCGCCTGGGTGGCTCAGTGGGTTAAGCCGCTGCCTTCGGCTCAGGTCATGATCTGAGGGTCCTGGGGTCGAGTCCCGCATCAGGCTCTCTGCTCAGCAGGGAGCCTGCTTCCCTCTCTCTCTCTGCCTGCCTCTCTGTCTACTTGTGATCTCTGTCAAATAAATAAATAAAATCTTTAAAAAAAAAAAAAGAATATCCAATAGAAAAAAGGTCTCTTTAACAAATGGTGCTGGAAAATTGGACAGCCACATGCAGAATGAAACTCGACCATTCTCTTATACCATACACAAAGATAAACTCAAAATGGATGAAAGGCCTTAATGTGGGACAAGAATCCATCAAAATCCTAGAGGAAAACATAGGCAGTAACCTCTTCGACATTGGCCACAGCAACTTCTTTCATGACATGCCTCTAAATGCAAGGGAAACAAAAGTAAACATGAACTCTGGGATTTCATTAAGATAAAATCTTCTGCACAGCAAAGGAAATAGGTAACAATACTAAGAGACAACACATGGAATGGGAGAAGATATGTGCAAATAACATTATGGATAAAGGGCTGGTATCCAAAGTCTATAAAGAACTTCTCAAACTCAACACCCAAAAAAGAAAGAATCCAGTCAAGAAATGAACAGGAGACATAAACAGACACTTCTCCAAAGACAAACAAATGGCTAACAGACACATGACAAAATGTTCAACATCACTAGCCATCATGGAAATACAAATCAAAACCACAATGAGATGGCACGTTACACCATTAAATGGCATAATTACCAAGACAGGAAACAACAAGGTTGGTGAGCTTGTGAATAAAAGGGAACCCTCTTACGCTGTTGGTGGGAATGGAAGCTGGTACAGCACTCTGGAAAGCTGTATGGAAGTTCCTCAAGAAGTTAAAAATAGAGTTACCCTATGACCCAGCAAATGTACTAGGTATTTACCCCAAAGATACAGATGTAGTGAAAAGAAGGGGCACATGCACTCCAATGTTCATAGCAGCAATGTCCACAATAACCAAACTGTGGAAGGAGCCGAGATGCCCTTCAACAGATTAATGGATAAAGATGTGGTTCATATATACATGGAATATTACTTAGTCATCAGAAAGATGAATACCTACCATTTGCACTGACATGGGTGAAAGCGGAGGGTATTATATTAAGTGAAATAACTCAATCAGAGAAAGACAATTATCATATGGTTTCACTCATGTGTGGAACATAACGAATAGTATGGAGGACCTCAAGGGAAGGGAGGAAAAACTGCAAAGAAATCAGAGAGGGAGACAAACTATGAGAGACTCTGGAATCTGGGAATCAAACTGAGGGTTACAGAAGGGAAGGGAGTAGGGAAATGGAGTAACCAGGTTATGGGTATTAAAGAGGGCATGTGTGGTGTTGAGCACTGGGTGTTATATGCAACCGATGAATCACTGAACACTACATCAAAAAGTAATGATGTATTATATGTTGGCTAACTGAACATAATTTAAAAAGAAAGCCAAAAAAAAAAACCACAAAAAACAGAAAACAAACAAACAAACCTGATTTTGAAGCACCAAAGAAGAAAAAATAATAAAACAATTCTGGGAAGAAGTCCGCATACTTCTGTGGGTCCTTCTTTGGAAGAAGTAAATTTGTATTTATGGGGGTGCCTGGGTGGCTCAGTGGGTTAAAGCCTCTGCCTTCAGCTCAGGTCATGGTCCCAGGGTCCTGGGATCGAGCCCAGCATCGGGCTCTCTGCTTGGCAGGGAGCCTGCTTCCTCCTCTTTCTCTGCCTGCCTCTCTGCCTACTTGTGAACTGTGTCTGTCAAGTAAATAAATAAAATCTTTAAAAAAAAATTGGTATTTATGAAAATGACTTTTGGGTGCCTGGGTGGTTCAATTGGTTAAGTGCCTGCCTTCAGCTCAGATCATGGTCCCAGGGTCCTGGGATCAAGCCCCACGTAGGGGTCCCTGATCAGTGAGAAGTCTGCCTCTCCCTCTCCCTCTGCCTGCTGCTCTCCCTGCTTATGCCCTTTTTCTCTCTCTCTGACAAATAAAATATATTTTTAAAAGTGACTTTCAATTGAAATGGTCCCTGAAAAAGGGAATCCTGTGTTTTTAACTTATACAAATTTTAAAGATAACAGTGAAATTGTAAAAATTTAACATCTCCATAGACCATCCCAAACCCTCCCACAAACTCCTTTAGGCTCTAGTTTGAGAAAGAATAGTTTTGCCAGAAATTTTAGGCTGAAGTTTCCTGTCACAAAGTGCAATAAGCTCATTTTTACCAACTATTTCAACCTTTCCATCTTGACACATCTCTTCTTTCTAACAAAGAAAGCTTGGCTTACATTTTGCTAATATCTGTTTTTGTATTTTTGTTACTCTTCCCCACTTAGCAAACTTCACTGGCTACGTTTGTTAAGTTAAAGAAAAACTTTTCCAACAAGCTTTTGATCCTGAAGTACACTCAAAACCTCTGCATTCCATAAACTCTCATCCCTGAACAAAGACAAAGTACTATATATATTTAATGACTAACATATAAATAATATATATTAATTACATATTCATATATATATGAATATGTATGTGTGCTGGTATGTGTTTCTGTGTTAGTGTAAAGGTTATCTATTTGCTTTACTTGTGTATATATTCCATCTTCTCACCTAAATCCAGAGATTCTTGAGGTTTCTCCATTGTTATCCCATTTTAACAAAACAAGTCTTCCTGATGGTTCAGGTAGCCAGAGCTACCATTAGAAAGCATGCTATGTTACCAGTGTGCTCTCTAAATTTTTATTTACCTCACAGTAAACTAATCTTAAGTACTTCTACTGGCTTAATTTCATTGTAATTTCTGTTAGATGGGTTGACTTACTAGGGAAATAAGCTTTACTTGTCTTGGTTTGAAGTTATGTTTGCCTATATGTACAAAGATAAGAGTTTATGCAGATTACAATAGGGAATTGCCTATCTTAGATAGCAGCTGAAGCCTAGGCTCTGAAGCTGGAATGTCCAGGTTTGAATTCAGCCTCCACTTCTTACTTGTTCATTTTGGGCAAGTTGCTTGATGTCTCTGACATTTTTCATTTAAAAAAAGGGGGGGAGAGTTGTACTAATTCTAAACTCATAGAGTTTCTATGAAAATGAACTGAGATAATCCAGGTAAAGCATTTTTGTATGGTTTCTAGGCCAAAGTAAGAACCAGCTTTTCAATAGAAGGTCAATATAATTTTTTCTTTACAGTAAGGTTAACTTTCAGGCGCCTGGATGGCTCAGTCGGTTAAGCATCTGCCTTCAGCTCAGGTAGTGAACCCAGGGTCCTGGGATGGAACGCTGCATCTCGCTCCCTGCTCAGAAGGGAGCCTCCTTCCCCCATTCCCATGGCCCCCACCCCAGGCTCGGGCTTTCTCTTTGTCTCTCAAAAAAAAAAAAAAAAAAAAAAGTAAGGTTAACTTTCTCCTTCCCTTTTATACAACTACCTTTCCTACCTACATGATTACTAAGGTTTACTAGGCCAAATTACCACCCACAATTCAACATCAATTTAAGGTAATTACACACACAAGAATTTATAACAACAAATTATGTTATGCTTGCATATATCATAACTTACCCCTCAATACCCAAATGGCACCATCTAGGCTTCCACTTTTTAGAAAAATTTCTGCTGCAATATTCACAATTTGACATCTTGGTGCTAGCTTCTCAGGCCCTGTAAGTCCTTTTAAACTTGTGAAATGTATTTTTAATTCATATAATTTATCTAAGACTTTCCTTCCCTAGAGTAAAAATAAAGAATATTGAGTATTACTCATTTAGAGTATCACAGAAATATAACATCAGTATTTATACAGAAGTCAATTACCCAATTTGAATTATCCTTCTAGACAGATGGTTCTCAAAAGACTCTTCCCTTAACGCCCTCCTGCTTAGCCACAGAGACAGGTAAGGGAAGGACCCTGCTAACACCTCTTTCCAAGTGTTTTTATACTTGTGCTTCCCCTAAAGATTTCATTTGGAGAAAGGATTTCTTGCCCTAAAGTGGAAAACTAGTAACTATACATTTTTGTACTTCTGTTGATCACCCTAAGCCAAGAGGGAGAGAAAGAGAAAAATCAAGGTAATGTCTTATAAAATTTACATAAAGAATGATAGTAGGGAAAAGAAAAGAATAAAACTGCTGGCTGAAAATTGTTTTTTATTCAACAGACTATTTCACATAGTCTACATAAAGATTATATCTCATCTGGACATCAGAAATTAGACATACAGTATTTTTTTTATAAGAGGTCAGCAAACTTTTCCTATAACTAGCCAGACAGTAAACACTTGGGCTCTGCAGGTCCCATTTGGTCAGCGGCACATTCTTTTTGGTTGTTGCTGTTTTTATTTTCTAATGCCTTAAAAATATAAAAAACATTCTTAGCTCTTGAGATACACAAAAACAGGCTGTGGGTCAGATTGGGCTCTTAGTTTGTGGATCCTGGTTTTATATTATATTATATCCTATCTGAGTCAGATCCATATTGTGATGTTAAGGTACTTTTAAGTTGATTATAGAAATGAATGCATTTTAAGGAAAAAGCTCTAGCTTAATTTCAATGGTTTTACTTTTGTGTTCAAAAGGAATAGGTTTCACTAAAAAAATTCATACTAAGTAAAATAAATAAAATATTCATTCCAAATAAGATACTGAAAATTTTAAATTACAATACAGGCACAAACTCACCAGCCTCTTGAGAAATAATCACAATGAATAAAATTAAAATACAGTCTAAAATTTCAACAAAATCAATCTTTGTCAAAAATACTGTGTTATGTAGTCCTCAATGTCCCAAGCATTAAATATCTAAGAAATTAATGCTATGATGAAACTTAAGCTAGACTATGAGACTAGGGACAAGCTATATTCTGCCCATTGCAGGCCTACAACCACACAGTGAATGCTAACCTTCTGAAGACCTTAAAGACTGGAGACCTTATGTACAAGGATTCTGTTGTCGTTGTTTTTAATTTAAAAAAATCAATGAATTTGTATGTGTATGAGTGACCATGTACTTATATGTTACTGAACATATTTCTTTATGAAATAACCTTATTTTATAAGAAGAAAGAAGCAACAAAAGATACATTATAATAGCTGATTCAGTACTGACCACATTCTCAACTGCTCCATTCATCCCTCAGAAATTCCTTCCTATTTTAGATTTTTCCTGTCCTCTACTTTATTTCACTTTGTTGAATCTACAACCACCTGTCACCTCAGAGAAATCTAAAGAATAGTAGTTCAGTATGGTCCAGAATAACTAGACCACTTCTAAGGTGAGCTAAACCTCAAAGGTAGATATCAAGATATATGGTCTAAGTGTTCCAGGAGGTGATTTTTAAGGAGTTCTGTTAATTCTGAGTTCCCTGGGTTCATCTTAAAAAAGGTGTCTGGAACTTATGCAAAATTTTAATGTTATAAATCCTTAAGAGGAAGCAAAACTCTGTATTGAAAGTTGCTTCAAATAAATATGATACTTAGCATACTTCTGACACTTCTTCAGGGTAACTGGTCTCATGCTACTGCCTTCCACATTTGCCTAATATACTACCTAATAATTCACTTACTAGTCTGGGACTCATTTTGCCACTTATAACAATAATTAGGAAATTTCTAATTTACAGGGTTAACTATATTGTTAAAAAAATTTTAAATTAACACACTCTGTACCAACCCCAAACAAAAATTTAATGACATACCTTGGACCACTGCAACAGCTTGTGATAGTAGTACATAGCACTGATTCCAATTCTTCCCAGCAAAGTTTTATCTACTTCACTATTTTGTGGATCTTTGCTAACTGAAACACAAAGTAGGCATATCAAAAAAAGTGAAAAAGTCATTTAAAATGGCAGCAAAGACTAAGTGATATGAAATTATTGACACTAGAACAAAGACCAGGTGTTGGTAAACCACAGCCTACAGGACAAATCTGGCCTGTGGCCTGTTTTTGTATAGCTTGTGAGCTAAGAATGGTTCCCTATTTTTAAAGGGTTGCTTGAAAGGAAAAGAAAACTATGTGATTGTGTGATCACATCTGATAGCGTGAAGCCTAAAATATTTACTACTGGCCCTTTGCAGAAAAGGTTTGCTGACCTCTGATTAAAAATACAGCAGTGAAGGGGCGCCTGGGTGGCTCAGTGGGTTAAAGCCTCTGCCTTCAGCTCAGGTCATGATCCCAAGGTCCCAGGATTGAGCCCCACATTAGGCTCTCTGCTCAGCGGGGAGCCTGTTTCCCCCTCTCTCTCTGCCTGCCTCTATGCCTACTTGTGATCTCTCTCTCTCTGTCAAATAAATAAATAAAATCTTTTAAAAAAAAAATACAGCAGTGAAGAGCTCATACAAAAAAAAAAAAAAAGTCTCAGAAACATATGAATTTTGTTGACTTATACTAGTGAAGGTAGTAACAACTTTAATGATTCAAAAATTCAAGTGCTCCAGTACAATTTGCTAGCAATAGTTTTACCAATCTGAATGAAAAGACAGATAAGAAAATGAAACATGAGTTGTTAAAACAATTCTTGACCTTATATCATTATAATCTAACTTGATAATAAAAAGATGAAAGATTTATAAAGAGAAGGAAAAGTATCTGAAATCTGCAATATCAACTTATCCCCAACATGGAAAATAGTAAGGGCTTTACATTCCTGTTAAAACACTGCACCATCCTAATACACACAATACTTAAACCCAAAGAGTGACATTTTACCTGTTTCAGCAAATTCACAAAATGGAACACCTGGTCTCTCTTCTTTACAGTCTTTTGTTAATGTTTCAGCAATACAAGCACAAAATCTCTGGAAATCTGCAAAGTTTTCACAGCCCATTTTTATGTTAATGTATAAATTTCCCAGTTTGGTCCAGTCACCTTTTTCTTTACAATGCTATCAGAATTATTAGAAACAAAACAAGAAAAAAGAAAGAAAGAAAGCTGTCATTTATAAAAAACGTATTATGGAATAGACACATGTAGACATTAGATATATAGAAATTAATAACACAATCTCTGTAGATCTCAAAAACTTATTGACAATGTTACACCACCAATAACTTGCTATTGTGCAATTTGGGTTTCTGACTATAGCATAGTCTCTGTAAGTTCCAGATGGCAATGCACATCTCTTTTAATAACCTTTTCATAATGTACTTAATGATGTCACCCCAAAACCTGAACTAGACAGTGGAGATAAGTTTTATGGAAAACAGATGATTAGCTATATAATTGGAGCTGTCTCTGTAGAAATACATTATTTTACTTTTAGAGATTTTACTTTTAGAGTAAACTTTTAGAGATTGCATTTTGCTATTATTTGGCCCCATTAATAATTTGGGGCCCAAATATCATTTTGGGCACTACATCTTTTGTGTGAAAGGGACTACAAAGTAAATTTCAGTAAACTTACCATCTTCTCATTATTTTCTATTATAAACAAAGAAACACTTTTCCACACCAACATAAGATTATTTCAAAGATACAAATACTAATTAAGACTAGACCAACAATTCCTAGATGAGTATAAAAATGATCTTAAACTAAACAGTAAAATCATCTTGAAAGTTCTCTATTTCTTATACTCCAAATGCCTGGAGAGGGAACACTGACCTTGGCTTTCCATTATCATTTCATATACTGCAGCCATCCATGGATTATGGTAAGAAAGCCAACTTTCTTGTGTACCAAGTCTGTCCGGCGACAAGAATTAAAGGCTAATAAGCCTTAGATTATTATACCTTAATATGTTAATTTTGAAACTGAACAATTATTTTTAGAATAGTCCATAACTCTAGAAATTGTTTGCATTTCAAAGTGTTAAAAAAATATTAGACTTCTTTCCCTTGAGAATTTTCTCTGTATAACAAGAGGGTTTAAAAAAACTTTACCCTCTATTCAAAGTTTCTTTGTTATTACTGGTTTTCAGAGATCCCAGCAATTTATTTAAAAAAAAATAAGTGTCATACCTCTATTTCATTCAAGGCTGAATCTAAATCACATTTCCAGTTCTTTTTAAATTGCCTCATCCGCAACCTTTAACAATAGAAAAGGGTTAATTATGTTTATCCTCCAAAAGTCACTACTGCCCCTAATTCACTTGTTCTATAGTTTATATCTAAGAAACTAGAAAAGAAAGAATGTAGTAAAAATTCTTAAGAACTAAAGAAAATAGCAAATGCATAGATATCTACTTCACACTATTTCTCCCCAAACCATAAGCAACAAGAAGGAAAAAGCAAGTTCCACATGAAACCATACTTTCAGCCTATAAGGTAACTTTAATACAGAGAATGACAAAGCTTCAAAATGATTATGGATAAAAAGGGAAAAAAATCATTAAAGCCAGTACTTGATCTTTCCTACTCCCACTCTACCCTTGCTGACCCAACAAGGATTTGTGATAAGCAGAAATAGACCAAAATAAAAACAATGCAAAAAAGCTGTGGAAAACTGAACAGGAAGGACTTAATATTGATTAAAAATATACTACCACAATGACTAAGTCCACATTAAGTTTGAAAATGTAAAAAAAAAAAATCTGAGTAGATTAGAACACAAACCACATAGAGTGAACTTAAAAGTCTGTGATTTAAAGAACACAATCTATAAAATGCATAGCTTCTGGGAAAGGAAAAAAAAAGACAAAAATTAAAGAAGTAGCATCCTTTGGCAACTGAAAACAGAAAAAGGAGAAAAAACACTGTACCATTAAACTAAGAGTACTATATAGCTGCCAACTCTGGGGTCAATTTTGATAATTAGTCCCAATGCTCAATAAATTATTCCAGAGCATTAAAAAGGAAGGACAACTTCCTAATTCCTTTCATGGATCAAATATAAATAACACTGATACTTCACCTAGATAAAGGTAGAACAAAGAAAAGTGTAAAACAATATTACCTATAATGATGTTGCAAAAGCTAGATAAAATATTAACAAGCAAATCAGTTTTTCAAATTGAAGAGTTAGGGAATGATGGTTGTGATGGTTGCACAACAATGTGAATGTGTTTAATACCACTGAACTGAACACTTAAAAATGGTTAAGATAGTAAGTTTTATATTAAGTGTATTTTACCACAAAATTAAAAAAAATATTAACAAACAGAATCCAAGACCACCTTAAGAAAATGACACACCATGACAAAGTGGTATTTACTTCACAAATATAAGGTAACTTCAATATTTAAAAATCCATCAGTAGTATATACCATTTTAATAAGTCTAACAGAAAAATTCATGATTTCCATAAATATTAAAAAGGCAGTGATAACATTAATTCACTTACAAATATAGGAACTGAGAGATACTTCCTTAAAGTGATTAAATATATATACTGTAGTCCTAAAGACATGACTGTATTTAATGAGAAAATTCTAGGGATATTTCCACTAAGATCAGGAACAATGAAAGGATGTCCACTATATCCATTATTATTCAATACTGTACTAGAGGTATGAGCCAAGGCAATTAGATAAGGCAAATTACTTATAGGCATAACAATGGAAAAGAAGAACTAAAACAATCTCTATTCACAAATGATATGATAGTATACTTGGAAATGCCCACAGATTCAAAGATGAAAATAGCTCAAACGATAAAGACTTTAGAGCAAATTAATAGAATATGAAATTTACAAACAAAATGTCCTTTATATATACAAAAAATAAAGAAATACAGCACATAATGATACAAAAAAATTCATTTACAATAGCAACAAAGATTAAATACTTATAAGAGGAAAATTCTAAAACACTCCTGAAAGACACATAAAGTATGAACAATAGAAAAAATTTCATGTTCTTTAATAGAATTCAATATTATAAAGATGTTAGTTCTTACTAAGTTTAATTCATAGATTTAATGCAATTCCAATAAAAATACAAACAAGCTACAATATGAGGTTAGGAAATTGATACTAAAGTCCATGTGGTAAAAACATACATTCAAGAAGAGCAAGAAAGACATGGAAAAGAAAAATTTTGCAGGGGTTTATCCCAACAAAATGTTAAAGCATACTACTAAAGCCTCTATAATTAAAACACTGTGGACCTGGTACAGGGGAATACAAAGTCCAGACACAGACCCAAGCACATAGGAACTTTAGTATATGATAAAGGCAGCATCTCAAATCATTCAAATTTAACAAATGGTTCTGGGAAAGCTGGACAAAAACCGGGAAAGAATTAGATCTCTATCTTACACCACACATAAGAATAAACTTCAAATAGATTATGAACCTAACTACAAAAATGAAGCCATACAAGTAAAAGAAAACATGTGTGAATTCCTCCAAAACCTTGGTGCAGGGAAATTATGACTCAAAATCCAGATGCAATAAAAAATAACTATGACTCAAAACTGAGGCAATAAAAAAAGACTGATAATTTAGGTTGAACAAGAATAAAAGTTTTTGCATGGCAAAAGCCACCATAAACAAATTCAAAAGACAACGGACAAACTGGAAAAAAATATTTGTAATATATAATACAAAGGTCTAATACAATATATTAAGAACTCTTGACATTTAAGGAACAAAGAACCAGAATCAAAACAACAAGAAGTACAAAAATGAAAAGAAAATGTTCAAACTCATTTATAATAAAAGAAAAGCAAATTAGGTCTCCAGAACTTAATAATCTTATAACTGCAACTCTGTACCCTTTGGCTAACATCTCCTCATTTGCCCCATTTTCCATCTCCTGGTAACAACCACTATTCTAATTTGTTGCTGAGTTAGACTTTTTTAGATTCCATATCTAAGTAAGATCATACAGATTTGCCTTTCTCCATCTGCCTTATTTCATTTAGCATAATATACTCCAGGTTAATCCATGTTGTCACAGATGGTAGGGTAACTTCTTTTTAAAGACTAAATAATATATATTCCATTGTATATATACACCACATCCTATTTTGTTCTTGTTACTCAAGACTGCTTTAGCCATTCAGGTTATGTTGTAGTTTCATACGCATTTTGAAATTGTTTTTTCTATTTCTGTAAAAAAATGTTAATAGAACTTTGATAGGAATTGAATTAAATTTATAGTTAGTTTGGGTAGCATGGACATTTTCAAAATATTAATTCTTCCAATCCATGAACACAGAATATCCTTCCATTTATTTATTTATTTTTAAAGATTTTATTTATTTACTTGACAGAGATCACAAGCAGGCAGAGAGGCAGGCAGAGAGAGAGGAGGAAGCAGGCTCCCCGCTGAGCAGAGAGCCCGATGCGGGGCTCGATCCCAGGACCCGAGATCATGACCGGAGCCGAAGGCAGCGGCTTAACCCACTGAGCCACCCAGGTGCCCCGTATCCTTCCATTTATTTTTGATTTCTTTTACCAATGTTTTATGGTTTTCGATATACAGATCTTTTATCTCCTCAGTAAATTTATTTCTTAAGTATTTATTTTTTGATGTTATTGTAAATGAGATTTTCTTGATTTATTTTTTTAATACTTCATTGTTAGTATATAGAGATACAACTGATCTTTTTTAATTTCATTTTAAGCATTTATTTAAATTCCAGTTAATATACACCGTAATATTAGTTCCAGGTGTACAATTTAGTGACTCAACACTTCCACAAACACCTGGTGCTCATCACAACAAATGATCCTTGATCCCTATCACCTATTTAACTCACCCCCTCATCTACCTCCCCTCTAGTAGCCATCAGTTTGTTCTTTATAGTTAAGAGCCTGTTTCTTAGTTTCTCTCTCTCCTTTTTTCATTTGTTTTGTTTCTTAATGCTCATTTGTTTTGTTTCTTAAATTCTAAATGACTGAAATCATAGTATTTGTCTTTCTCTGATTGACCTATTTCGCTTAGTATAATACACACTAGCTCCAATCACATTGTTGTAAATGGTGAGATTTCATTCTTTTCGATGCCTGAGTAATATTCCATTATGTATATAGACATAATGGAATATATATATCTATCTATATCTATATATATGTCTATCTATCCATTATGTATATATATACATAATGGGATATTATATATATAATATTTATATATAGATATATCTATATATCTATATTTAGATATCTAGATATACCTATTTTACATCATGATGACTATAGTTAATAATAAGGTATTGTGTACTTGAAATTTGCTGAAAGTAGATCTTGTGTTCTGTGTACACACACACACACATGATAGATACATTAATATATAGATATAGATATATCTATATGTATAGATATATCTACATATATAATATATATATATAATATCCCATTATGTATATATATACATAATGGATAGATATATCTATCTATATAGATAGATATATACATAGTGGATAGATAGATATATCTATCTATCCACTATGTATGTGTGTATATATATATACACACACACACACAATGGAATATTACTCAGGTATCGAAAAGAATGAAATGAAATGAAGATGTGGTGTGTATATATATTATATATATTTACATACATATTATATATATATAATATATATATATACACACCACATCTTCATTCATCAATGGACATTTGTACTCTTTCCATAATTTCGCTATTATTGATAATGCTGCTTTAAACATCAGAGTTCATGTATCCTTTTGAAATAGTATTTTTTGTATCCTTGTTAGTACCTAGTAGGGCTATTGCTGGATTCTAGGGCAGTTCTATTTTTAACATTTTGGGGAAACTACAAACTGTTTTTCAGAGTGGCTGCACCAGTTTGCATTCCCACAAACAGTGCAAGAGGGTTCTCCTTTCTCTGCATCCTCCCCAACACTTATTGTTTCTTGTATTGTTAACTTTAGCCATTCTCACAAGTGTGAGGTAGTATTTCATTGTAATTTTGATTTGCATTTCCTGGATAGTAAGTGATGTTGAGCATTTTTTTATGCATCTGTTGGCCATTTGTATGTCTTTTGGAAAAATGTCTCTTCATGTCTTCTGCCCATTTCTTGCCTGGATTATTTATTTTGGGGGTCTTAAATTTGATAAGTTCTTTATAGATTTTAGATACTAACCCTTTATCAGACGTTATTTGCAAATATCT